AAGGAGAAGAACAAGGAGTAGAAGGACAAGAAGAGGACAAAGGAGAAGAACAAGGAGTAGAAGGACAAGAAGAGGACAAAGAAGGAGAAGGACAAGAAGAGGACAAAGGAGAAGAACAAGGAGTAGAAGGACAAGAAGAGGACAAAGAAGGAGAAGAACAAGGAGTAGAAGGACAAGAAGAGGACTATAAGAAGAGGATGACAAAAGATGACAGACGAAGACAAGGATGACAAGAAGAGGACGAAGAATGAGAAGAACAAGGAGTAGAAGGACAAGAAGAGGATGACAAAAGAAGACGAAGAAGACAACAAGAAGAGGACAAGGAGAAAGAGGACAAGAAAAGGATGACAAGAAGACAAGAAGAGAAATAATTCCACTGCTATCAATGTGCATTCTTTGTGAGAGCTTTCAGTTTCTCTGGCACAGTTTGGTCATGCTGCTCGTCTTGTCTCCTTACTTGTGTTCTTGTGTTCTTGTTGGAAACAATAAGGGTCTGAACTGAACTCATCTTGGATCTAAGATTAATAATATCTTGTTTTTTGTGAGGATCCAGTTATCAGAGCTAATGATGCGAATGGATTGCAGAAAACTCTTTCCGAGTCAGACATCAGTCGTCAAGTGTGTGTTTCCAGATTCCTGACAGATGGTTGAGCTGATAAAGCTACCACAGATTTCCTGCTCGGGGTAAAACCGATTTTGTGAATCAAAATGTAAAATGAGACGAGGAAATCAATCTGAATGTATCATCACTCAGCTCATTAGAACACAAATTGTTGTTCCGTTCAATTAGAGCTTCAATAAAAATGTAAATGTAATTGGCTCCTTGAAATTAACTGTGGGTGGCTTTAATTCACGGTGATAACATCACGTCTCCTGTTTGGTTCCAGTATCAACCGGTTTCATTTTCCCTCCACTGATGGAGTGTGTCCCTCAGCGTTGCATTTAGGTGATGGATAATAAAGTACCTATCGTGCTGCCCTTGAGCCATTTCTTCTACGTTCATGAGAAAGATGTCTGAAGAGACGAATAAATTACAAGAAGCAGGTAGAGGAGAGCCGCGATGAAAACAGGAGGAATAAAAGAACAAAGGAGCAAAGAATCAGTCGTTAATGAGACATAAAGACAGGTTTTTTTTCACATCCTGAGAAGTATTTTCCTGTGATGATACCAGTTTCCTCCTCCAGCATCTACTTTGAAAACCTTTAATGCAGAAAAATCCACCGCCCAGGCAGGGATTCCTCTTTTAACTCAGCTGCTCTCCACTGGTGGGCTGTTGGGGGGTTCTAATTAGAAAAGTAAGATTTGTCCTCTGAGACTCAGATCAATAACTCTCTGCTCCACATGCTGGCTTTGTTTTTGAGTGGAAGCATTCACGGTCATTAATGGACGCTGCATGGCGGCGTTTTCCTGAGAGCTCATAAAGTACAGCGACTAACTCCCATCAGAAGAGCTAAATGTTGTCTGGGAGAATATTTAAAGAAAAAATGTTGCATATTGACTAATTTAGATACACAAAGTATTTTTTGTCTTTTTAAGACATGGCAGATATATTATAGTCTCTGTCCACACGTCGTTCTCTCGTCCCGCCCGTTAGTTTGGATTCTCTCAAGATTATTTAATGGAACTTCACACACACAAGATGAGTTCTACTCAGAAGACATTTCGGTGAAATGACCGCGCAGACCAGTCCATCTTGAACCTTCGTCTAGCCGTTCATAGATCACAGGTGACGCCGCCACGTCCCGCTCAGATGCGACTTTCGAGCGGAACCAAAAGAAACGTGGAGCAGAACTTTGTTGGGCTGAGAGATCGTGAGGCGTTAAATATGTGCCGGTCCGGCTCTGCTACTACCTCGCTCGGTGGCACAGAGGTGCATCAGCTGACTCTGACCCGCTCGCTGCCTCGATGTGTCTTCTGATGGACCGAGGCGGCCAGAACACGTCCGTGCCAGGCTGAGGCGCCTTCTTAATGAGGCTGTAGTGTCACATGCACTTTATCACACCAACTCCAAGGTCAAAGTTTATAAAGGCCTTTGCTTGTCCATGTCATAGATTGCTGTATTGCTTTATAGTAGTTTGTATAATAAGCTGTATACATTACTCTTGTTTTACTGCTCTGTTAGCAAAATATCTTGTGAACCAGTGGCTGGATTTGATCAAAACTTGAACTACTCCATCCCTTCTTATCATAAAATGTAGGTTAAAATCTGGCATGGAAGGTGGCGTACAATTAGTTTTTTATGTTTTAATTTCTATGTACAGAATGTCAGAATTGTGATTTTATGAAACTATTTTGCTGCCTTGGCCACAATTTAGACTCGTTGTGTGGTTTCTCAAACTATGAAACTGTTAAAAGGTTTGTTTATTTTGAAATACAGCTTTCATAAAACAAATAAAAATAAGCAAAGAAATATTAGGGCAGAAATATTAAAGTACAGATATGTAAACTTTACAATAACGTTGAAAGATGAAGTACAGTAGTCCCTCGTTTATCGCAGGGGATCCGTACCCTGAAGCCCCACGATAAGTGAAAAACGGCCAAGTAGGAATAGTAATACAAGTAGTAAGTTGTAGTTTATATATATATATATATATATATATATATATATATATATATATAAAGGGGTTTTAAACCCTTCCCACACTCTTGCAATATTCTGAACAATGTTTCTAAACTAGAAACGCTCTAAAAGAGCACAGAATGTCATGATTTCAGCTCCCTGCCTCCGCTGCTCTTTGCCACCTGCAAGCGCTCTTGGTCACGCCCACTTTTCTGCTCCGCACAAGAGCAGCTGATCAGCTGCAGCAGGAAGTTTATCCTGCAGCAGTATGGGCTACACAAATGTGAAGCAGGTGCTAAATAATTTTAAAAAATGTATTTTTAATTAAAATCCATGCCGATCGTGCGGCTCATCCATCAATCAGCCAGTTGTGCGTCATGTCCAATCTTATTTTGAAAAACCGCAATAGAGCGAGTCCGCGATAAACGAACCGCGACAGAGCGAGGTACTACTGTACAGTATTATTTTACTCATAAGCATTTTTGTACGTGCATTTTTTGTGTTTCTATGTGCATATTTGTCTGAGTTTTGTTTGTTTGTGCGTCCCAGGTGACGGGACTGAGCGTTTCCCCGGGGAAGGACCAGCTGGTTGTGTTCCACACCAAGGACAGCAGGGATCTGGTGGTGTGCCTGCAGGGCATGGTACCTGCCAACGAGAGCCGCATCGGGGAGCTGGTTGGAACTCTGCTCAGCCATTTCAGAAGGTCAGCAGTCACAAAGTGTTAACAAGTAGAAGGCAGGAACTGATGGCTCAGTTAACGTGCCTTGGAAGTACAGAGACGTGTGCGCAGCTCGAGGTAAAACCAGATTGATATCTTTTATTTGTTGCTCGGAGAAAAGCTTCTATTCAGGATTCTGTCCCCGTTTGAACCTGGTGGAGCTCATTTGAGGTAATTTGCTGCATCACTGCAGAGACGGTGTCACTTGATGAAACTGAAACGATCTGCATCCCCTGAGCGAACTGGTGAGACGAATGTCTGTGGCACATGTGTGGCGTCGCCCCACGTGACCCGAGGCTGCAGGATTATGGGGCAGTTGGAGGACACAGACACAGCTGTCCTCAACTCAACTGTTCACTTAATCTGAGCTCTCCGTTCAGGACAGGCTGCTCAAAACCACTGGGTTTACTCCAGTTTCTAAGGAGGGAAACACAGATTTGGATCAACTACAAATATATCCTGGAATCCTGCAGTCACAAATCTTCACAAATCAAATGAGCTTCAGTTCAGGAAGCATAAAAAAACCATGTGAAGGAAGAGAAAGCCCACGTATCAATCTGTTAAATATTCAAAGACAAATGTTTGTGCTGAGCCTGGATCTCAGGTCTTCAGTTGTTTGATCGTTTTCTGCATCACAGAGCAAAGTTATAATAAAGCATCAAGCATGGATGCAGGGGTGGGGTTGATAAATAAGCTGCCGTGTTAAAATAACTACATCTGAAAAACTGTATGACACAGTTAAGTTAAACTCTGACATATTTTGTGCAAGAAGATTATTGAAACCAGCAGCCGTGTAAATGCTGAGTCAGCATTCACCTTTTATAGTTTATAGCAGGGCAATTCAACTAAATTGTTCAGGGACCACAGTTACTGAAAGCCAAGAGCTCTGGACATCCAGCAGTTGATGTTTTAAGTAAGATTGTTTTATGATTTAAATGTCAAGTTTTATTTAAAAATAAACCCTTTGGTGGGCCGAACTGAGCTCACCCCTGGGCCTGATTTGGCCCTCGGACCACCAGTTGAATATCCCTGATTTGTAATTTTTTGTCTGTATGTTTTTTTCTGTTTTGAATCAGAATACTTCCACGTGCTTTGTGCAGTTTTAACCGTTAAAATGTTCATCTTGATCGGGGATTGGTTGCTTTGACTTTGCTTTTTGAAACATTTATTCTTTTTATACACATGACGAGAGACAGACGTGTTAAACTAGCCTCCGTACGTAATCTTTGCCTTGTCCACCAATAACTTCTGATTCGCTCAAGATCATTTAAATAAACTTCATGCACGTATGTACGATGACTAGACGTAGTTTCACGTAAACATTTCATCACCCCTGATTCAAGGTCAAGGTCACAGTTGAAATTGGGTCTTTGCTTTTCCCACCCATAACTTAGGATTCCTAAGATAACAAAACTCAGTGTTTCTCCTTCCATTATACAAGCAGGGCCCCCCGCCCTGTCAACAGAACTGAGCGCCCCGCCTACCAAAGCCCCACCCCCTCCCATCGACAACTGCCAACACTGACGTAGCGCTAAGTGGCGTGCAATTCATATGCACTAGCTAAAAAGCTTCATCGCTGTTTTCCTCACGCTGAGCCGTCTACACCCCCCCACCCCCACCACCAGCGCGTGCACTCAAGACGTGTCTCTCCCTCCACCCCCCCACGTCGACTAAAATCACAGAAGGTATGAGCGCCCTGCCAGGGCAAGTAAAAAAGGGGAAACACTGAAATTTGATACAAATGTGTGCCACCAGTAGAAGACGTGTTGTAAACTTTTCATCATCCCAGCTCTAAGGTGAAGGTCACAAATCAAGGTCAAACTTTATACAAGCCGTTGTTATAGATTGCAGTATAAAAGTTTGTCAAAGGGCGTGCAATGTGCTGTATGTGGTGCTCTAGTAAAAAATATCTAACTATTTAAAAAACTTTGGGCTTTAGAATTCAGCTACAGTGTTGACGTCAGCTAGGCCTGTCACGATAACGAATTTTACTGGGCGATTAATTGTCTTAGAAATTATTGTGATAAATGATAATATTGTTTGAAATTTGACAATAATTATTAATCGTCAAATTTAAGAAGAAATGTTGGTTAATTTGTTTTGTGTGTATGTCGATGTCAATTTATGTATATAAAAACAACCAAAGCTGACCAAAGTGCTTTACAGTTAATACGGATAAAAAGAGTAAGAAATGCATCTAGTGCCACTCAAAAACACAAAGTAAATAAACAACAACAATAAAATTGGCTCAAACTTTCTCAGACTCTGCGTGGATCAAATGCCAAGGAATCCAGATGAGTCTTCAGCAACGATTTAAAAGTCTCAACAGTCCGAACGGTCTTTAAATTCTTGGATAAACTGTTCCACAGTTTTGTAGCAGCAACCGCAAAAGCCCGATCACCTCTGGACTTCAGTTTGGATCTGGGGACTTCGAAGAGGAACTGGTTGGTAGACTGGAGTGCTCTTACTGGAGTCTAGATGTTGATAAGATCACATAAATAAGACGGGGCCAGACCTTTTAAGACTAAAAACAAGCAATCGTAGTGTGTAGTACCTTTGGCAGTATAAGACTGTTTGAACCGAAGGATGGATGGTGAGGGAGCGAGCAGCTTGTCTCTTTAAGAAAAATGGGAGGGAGGCCCCTTGACGTGACATGGGCTGTCTTTCTTGGGTTCTCAAAATGGCAGACGCTCGGTGTGGTTTGAGCTCTTCAGCATTTTTCACACAAGACTTTTAATAAAAAATCAGTAAACAAGTTCTCAGCTTCTTTTTGCAGAGAAAAACAACTTTTTACACGAAGGCACGAGTTTCAACCGTGAATTTTGAAGCTTCGACAAGACGGAGGTTTTTTTCCCCCCGAGGTCGGTCTGTTAGCTTAGCTCGTAGCTTAGCTTCTTTTAACGATCCACAAACACGATTTTGGACGGTTAAAACAGATTTTAAAGAGAAAGAGAGGAGTCAGTGAAGAACCGGAGTTGAGTCTTTTGTCTTCCGGTGTCTTCAGTAGAAAGAGAGAGACGGGAAGAAACGAAAAAGCCGATAAATGAAAATGAGGTTGATAATTTTAATTTATCGTGCTATTAATTGATTTATTGTTTATCGCGACAGGCCTAATGTCAACATGTATTTGCTAATTTTAGCTACTGTTCGGTTGATTTTACCTTCTGATCTGTTCATTGTAACCTTTGTTCTGCATGTCTTATTTTAATAAATCTGCTTTAAGTTAATTTAATCAAAATCACGCACCACTCAACGTTAATGCTGCATTTAATTTTTTTAATTCAATTTCTTTAGTTTTAGCTGGAAAATTAACAGAATTTATTATATATTGTTCCATTGTTTGTCGTTTCATTGAGCGACTCTTCCTCGGTAGTTTGGCAGAAACGTTGCCCTGATGTTGAGCGTGGGGGGGGGGGGGTGCCCACATCTGTGTGTGTGAACACACTCCATCATTGCCAGTCTGTGATGGTATCTCATGTTATTATGGAGCCCATTTCTCTGTAGGTGTCGGGGCTGCGAGGCCTCGTGTAATGACCCTCCGTGCGCTTCACGTGCAGCCTCATCCATCACCATGAGCCTCTGACAGAACAAAGAGCCCACCAGCCTGTGGAACCGAGTGTCACAGCGTTGATGTTTGTTTGTTCTTATCAGTTTTATCGTCTGAACGGTGAGAGATTCCTGCGAGTCGGCCTCCTTCTCATTGTTCATGCACAGTATATTATCTTGGGCTCTGCGGCTGCAGCTCCTCGTGCACGTGGCTTTAACCTTTATCTCTCCTTCTGCATGCTGCACGATATTAACAGCAGCAGGCAGAGGGACGTCTTACAGCAGCAACAAAGCAACAGCGAGAACTGCCAACGTGAATCCTCCAAGTGCTCCAGTTTTCCCGTGACGCCGTTTGTCTTTAACGTCTGAATTTGTTCCTCGACGATCTGTTTTGTGTTTTCCGTTATGAATCTACGTTTTGCGGCAGACTGATGGAAAGTTGAAAGCAGAATTAAGATTCACGTTCCTTCAGCCTCCCTCGACTTTTATTCAATCTTTTAATCTGCTTCCTGTTTCTGTCGTCGTCTGCTTTTGTGCTCGTTTCAGTCTGAGACAAACCCCTTTTATCCTCCATCCACCCTTCCCCGCCTCTCTCAATCGTTCTTTTCCTCCTCCCGACTCCCACTTTCTTCATTTCTGATGAAGAGCCAATGAAATATTTAAAGCTGTGCTGCTGAGTCTATATTTAGACGAGACGGAGCCTCCCCGTTTCCTCTTTTCTCCCCGTCTTCTGCGCTCCTCAAACCCACACTGCCGCCAGGACGGAGCATAAATGTGCGTTTGTCCCGATTAAACAAGAACTTCATTCACTTCTATTGATTAAAATAAATGGAAAATTTCCTTTGAAGCAGATATAAAGTGACAGACACCGTTTTCCTGCAGAAATGTTTAAAAAAAAACATCCTAAACTTTTAAAGATTTTACAGAGACATAATTTAAACGATTTAATCCGAAATTTTATTTATTTGCTGAGTAAACAAACCCAGTGATATTACATTAAAATGTTGTTTAGTCAAACACATGACATTTAAAGCAGAAGGTCGTGTTTTAATTAGAGCTGCATGCACATCAGTTGCAATAAAACATTTTCCTCGCGCTGCTTCCGTCCTGAGCGTCGCCTGAACCAGGTGTGGTGGACATCAGCCCCGCTGTGAAGCTCTGCGTGAGTTTCACTTTACAAGTACAAATTAAGAGCGGGTGTTTCTTCCTCTCAGCCGATTGGTCAACGTCCTGTCAATCACAGGTTTAACGATCCAATCAGAGAACAGATGAGTTCAGGGGGGTGTGGCTTTACTGAGACGCAAGTCCTGGAAGGTATGAGGATTACTTTGCAGAGGTGGACAACGCCACAAGACGTTTAAAGCAATTAAACGGCTGCATACAGAATTGGAGAATAAATTTTCTTTGACAGATAATCTAGAAGACTTTTTTCAGTCTTT